CGCTAGAGAGCTAATTTCTTATCTAGGCCTAACCGCCATATCTATTTTTACTACACTTGGTAGATATGTAGAACACGACGCCTCAAGGTGACTGGAGAAATTTAACTCTAACTGGCAACTGGGTGACGCTATAACAACAGAAAAATGGCTAAAATGCAAGAGATTGCTGTGGCTGCAATCGTACTATCAAATTCACAAAAACTCTGTTTGAATACATTGCTCTTCTTAATGGGTTCAGTTGACTATTGACTAATCTGCAATTTCCTATGACCTGTATCCCAAACACACACCATGTGAAACTGTACGTGGGCAACTGTGCACTCAATGGGTATGGACTAGTCTTTATTTATAAAGCGATTTTCAAAACAGAGTCACAAAGTGCTTTACATGTCAATAACTACAACAGACAAGACATGAAAACACCAACTTTTAAAAGAACTAATGAAACAATTTAATATATAAAAACTTGGGAAATAAAAGACAGTTTAAATTAATTAAAAACTGAGATCACTGACACGGCCAACCTGATGTCCTGGGCAGATTGTTCCAGAGCCTCGGAGCTCGACCTCTGGGACATACAAAAGACCTCTGCCCGAGGACCTCAAAGTGTGTCCTGGCATGTATGAAACTAGGAGGTTGGAAATATAGCTGGGAGAGAGACCATACGGAGCCGTAAAAGTAATCAGTTAAATCTTAAAATCTATTCTAAAACACACTGGGAGCCAGTGTAAAGAAACTAAAAATGGAGTAACGTGATCATGTCTCTTGGTTCTGGTCAAAGACTCCTTGGCTCTGATTGGTTGGTCGCCACGACAGATTAACAGAACAGTAACAGGGGACATTTTTCTGCATTTACTACTTTTACTTGCAATATTTTAAGTACATCATACCGATGGTACTTTGATACTTTTACTTCAGTGACGTTTTCAGTGCAGGACTTTTACTTGTAACAGAGTATTTTACAGTGCAGCATAACTACTTCTACTTCAGTAAAGGATCTGAATACTGTACTTCCTCTGCCATTGTCCTCCGGACTGTGTGGGCATTTAACACTTGCTTGACCAACATCTCACCTCATGTTAGTTTGTTGCACCTGAAGATAGAACAAAGAATTCACACCTTAAGTTTGGTGTCCTTTGCAAAATCCCATCACATTCCCAAACCAACTTCAACCTAAAAAGAGGTTTAATCAGCCAAAAAATAATGGAATACACTTGTGTGGGTGTGCAGAGACTTTCAAGAGAAAAGAAGCATCCCCACGAGGCAAAAGCACCTCATTTCACTGTAGTGAGCGATGAAGATGGGGAAGAGACTGGAGGAGACAAGGATAATGAGATATGAGCCATGTATAAACATCCTGCACATACGTTCAGAACACTGATCTCTGCACACTGCATAGCACTTACAAGTCTGTCACACTGACATAGGAAACTGGCTAAATTAGAATAACATGTGCAAGGAACTATATTTCATAATTTATATAATCTTATTCCATACATCGACAGAAACTCTTGATGTCCTGTTTGATCAGTTCCTGTATCATTCTTAATTTCCCTACAAGTCTGACGTATGTTGCAATTATTTTTTGGTCCGTCTTCCTGAGATGGAAAACTCGTGTCGCCTGACCGTGTCCTGCAGACGTCAAAGTATGAGCCAGGGTTTTAAGCCAAGTATTGGTTCTCCTGCCCTCAAATATGAGAATGAAAATATTTATTGGAAAGATAAACAAGCACTGATTTGTGCCATGATCAATAAGGTCTCAGTCTCTGAGTTTGTGAGCTTGTGTGCCCTTCTATCCACACAAGCCCTTGAAGGGATTTACAAGCCAGTTCAAATCACTAAACCATGGAGGAATTATCTGACAGGAGGAGGAGGTGGCTCACTCCACTGTCAGCAACTCTTACTGATGTTTCCTCAAGCCTTTAACTTTTATATTGTAAAAAATAAAATGTTAAAAAGGCTGCCAATCCTATCAGCTTATCATAACTGAGATAAAATATGTGATAAAATGCTTGTTTGTAGCCTTCACCGTTGGCTGATCGCCATCAGAAAGAGATGAAAACTGAGGTGGAGCAGCTAATCCTTATGTGGTTCAGTGTTGATCAACACCTTGATTTATTTATCAAAGAGTTGCTGAGTTTTATTAAATCGTGGCTGAACTGTGCAAATTGTGTGTCTGAGTGTGTTGCCCTTTGTCCTGCTACAACCAATCCCCCAGGCCACTGTGCTGTGAATAAGAATGGAACCAGTTTGCCTGGTTTAATAACTAAATATATATATATTTCACAGGGTGGCCAAATGCTTGACTCAAAAACACACAGTCTTTGAGCTCAGATAAGTGTCTTGTCAAATAAAAACTGTCTACTGCTCAGTCTGGAGTTGCAATCATAGACTGTATAGAAGAAGGGGACGTAGCCACTATGACGTTACCCATTGGTTTTTAGACTCCTGTTTTGAAGCCTCGAGTTTGACATTTCTTTTGTCGCCATCTTGGTAGTAACCTGTCAATCACAAGGTAGCCATGCCCCAAAGCATACCCTACTTTATGGGCTATTTTACTCGAAATGGGACCATCATTTACAAAACGAACATCATGCTGTATTGAAGAAGACTTGAAACTAGCTACCATAAACTCATCAGTAAAATGTTTACCAAGGTAATAAATCAAGTGAGAGGTAGGGTCTTCTGTACAATCTGACTTCTCTTTGCAATCACTAGAGTCGCCCCCTGACTTCCGTTTTTAAACCTTGAGTTTGACATTTTGGCTGTCTCCATCTTGTTTGTTGGGAATCTTCTTGCAGAAGTCCAGTTGTTGAAGTGTGACGGGTAGATATGAATGAGAGCACAAGGATACCACCATGGTAGCAACTTGTCAGTCACAAGGTAGCCAAGCTCTAAAGCATACCCTAAATGATTTACAAAGTGAAAGTAGCGACTGAGACCATAAACTCATCAGTATAATGTTTACTGAGGTAATAAATTAAGTGAAAAGTAGGTTTATTTTCTCATAGACTTCTGTACAATTTGACTTCTCTTTGCAGTCAGTGGAGTTGCCCCCTGCTGGCCATTAGAAAGAAAAGAAAGAAAGCAGATTTAAAGCATTTCCACATTGGATTCCCTTTTTTCAGACCCAGAAGTTGCCACTTGGTTGCAGCAATTAGTCAATTAACCAATTCGACGATCACGATCACAAGAACTTTTTCAAGGATTGATTGGCTGTTCAAGTCAAATTTTAAGCAGAAATGCCAAAGATTTTATGGTCAAATGTGAGAATTTCTAGTTTTTCCAGCCTTACATTGAGGTAAATGGAAAAACTGTTGGTCTGACAAACAACACATTTCATGACACCATGTTCTACCATTTTCTGATTGACCAAATAATTGTTTAATCATGAAATTAATCAACAGATTAATCTCTGAAAATAACTGTTAGTTGCAGCCCTAGTTCAGTAAAGTCAACTGAGTGCAAATCTATTCCTAACTTCCTTAAAGTAACAGCAAAACTGCAGCTACAGTGGCTTTATCTCGGGTCATGTGACTTGAAATGCTCACCCAAGAGACCCTGGAGAAAACTAAAACTGTTTCTATGTTTTACAGCATTGGAAAAGATAGATTTTAAAGCTAGTGCAGGACTTTCATATAGAAATGAACATCTTTTACGTTCAAGCCCTTGTCAAACAAGTTCATACAATGCTGATTAAGTCCATCGCTGCAAAAGAAAGCTCTCTGTATTTTGCAGTACACCAGAGTTGTGATGTTGGTTGTCTGTGGCGACTGCCCCGCACTGATGCTCCGGAAGTGATGTGTTATGAAAAAAAAGCCAGAGCTAAAAGGGGCAGGAAGAGGGGTAAGGCCATAGCGATGGAGCAGCAACTAATAGTATGGCAGAATCTAAGGCTGAAAATCCTAACAAGCATCTAAGAACAGTTTCAGGAGTGGATGCTCCAGTTAAAAAAAAAAGTGTTCAAACAAAGTAATAAAGTTAGAATACTGGCACAGGGGAAATTGAAAGGAGCACTCCTGAGGGCAGGGGAGATGCAGCAAGTTCACCCGCAGGCGTAACTCATACGCAAACGTCGATTGCGTTTGCGTAATTACTTTCATTGCCAGAGGGGGGAGATAGAAGCTCCACACTACAGCTTTAAAATGAAATACTCAAAAAATGATTTTTTAAACATATATTTAACATATAACAAGACAAAACTTACACAGAAGCACAGGATTAGAGCTTGTTAAATCTATGTTTTACTCAGTGGTGTCTTTAAAATCATGTTTATTTGAGCATTCAATAAACCACTGTATTTGTATTTGCACTTCATGTTAGCACTGGTCCTTTGCACTCTCAATACAAACACTGCAGTGCACAAAACCCCGCCTCCATCAATGGTAACAATGATAGCTAAACTTGGAGAAGATAATCTTGTTTACTATTGACTCAGGCTGGACAATAACCTCAGCTTTGATCGATATCTGTTATATCTACAAAAGATGCCAGCAAAGACTCTGTTATCTGCAAACTCCCCTGAAAAAGCAGACAACCAATAATACCCCACTAATCCTTGTGTTTCTTTACTATGTTAAACTTCTACAGCAACAACAAATCCATCCACTTACCACCCGCAACACACACTGCTTTCTAAGATCACTGGCCTCCTCACCTCCAGCCTCTCACATCTCAATGACAGAGCCATCACATTGCACAGATCACAGCACATGACCCTGGGCACACCCCCAATCTATTTCTCACACTGCTCCCATATAGCGGCAGAAATAGGACTGTAAAGGGCACTCTATACTGTAGCACGAGTCCTGCCCCCTCTGCCACACTGTCTGTTTTTATGTCTCTATGGACTCAATTTATCTGAGTAGTGAGTACATGTCTGATTTTCCATCAGACATATCATGGAGATTAATTTCCTCTTGTGCAGACTAAAGACTCTATCAGTATTTGTACAGGATGTGAAATTATTTGCACTAAAAAGGTATCACAGTCTACAATACCTGGTGGAACTCCCTCTGGTGCTGGACGGCCCCCACGTCGCCTCCTATGGGCAGCTGCTCCGACAGCTCCTCGTCCTTGGCTGTCAGCCATTCTATGATCTCCTGCAGAGAGAGCTGCAGCTTCCCGCTGTTGTCAGAGAAGGCCTCTAGCCGCACCCTGCCAACACACACACACACACACACACACACAGACACACACACGAGTTAGCTCAGCAAACAGAAACATTCTCTACCAGAACAGCTAAATACTGCAGATTATATTTGGTCACAGCCTCCCACTATCCAGAATGTGGGCATCCAAAACTGAAAACTTCACCTGAAGATGTCAAATTTAAACCTTCTATTGCAATCCAGTGACGATGCATGGTTTTCACATTTCTTTTTAAATCAAATAAAAAACATCTTGAAGCATTCATGTCCTATTTAACAGTGTTTTGCACAGGACCTTAATCGCCTCTTTAGTCTGCACCGTCCTTAATTTGGGCAACTGTATCATCATGCAGAACACAGACCTTATATAAAAATGGATGATAAGACAGCTCTCAAAAAGTGAAGCCAAAATATCTCAATCGCCACCTGGTTGCTGACTGCAGTGAAGGTCATAAACCCCGTCCCCTCCATGTTAGCAGATGGGCCGGTAAAGTCAAAAGTAAAAGATCAAAGTATATGTCAAATAATTTTTTTGCAAAGATGGTTTCTGTTATTTTATGTAGTTGTTATCACCCTGATGTTTGTTCAAGGGTTTGACGTCATGATTGACAGCTGTTTGTGCCAACTGGTATGTCCGCAATCAATGGCACTGCTCTCAATGGGTCTGATGGTGGAAACTTAATAGCACAAAGATACTGCACAGATTCTGGCTCAAAATGATGTCAGCAGTGCAAGATGGGAGCAGCCATATCAGGTCAGAATACACATTTATTAGAGCCCTGTGGATGCTGCTATGAGAAGGCCAAGGCATTGCTGTTCCCAAGGGGCACAACTCCATTTTGAGCGAGTTATGAAAGCAACAAATATGCTTGAAATTCATCATGCCTTGCTGATCATGCTTTAGTGTATACATTGACTTGCTAATTTTTAAACAAGCAAGGCACTAACATAAGCTGCAAACATTAGCAAATCTGGCTAACTACCTACAGTTGTAACCTAACTTAGCTTTACTTCCAAGGGCAAGTGTTAGCATATAGTTAACTCACAACATTATTTTGTGGAGTTACAGGTTACAACTAGAACATTCAGGGTGCGGAAGCCACTTCTGGATGGCACCTTATCAGAGTTTAGGCAATACCTGGTGCTTACTAAAGAATTTTTAAATCTCAACTGATTTTAAAAATGTCGACGACCACAGACATGATGACAGATTAAACTTCTTTTTGACCTGTTTTAATTCTAAGAACACACACACACCAGACAATTCAGTCAGGACTCAGACTTGGCATTTCACTCGCTGTTGTGTGATCAAATGTCATTTCAGAACAAAAAAAAAAAAATCAATCATGGAGGTGGCCTGTTGCTGTCAGCTGATTGCACTTGTGTGCTAAATTTTGCAGCGAAAAACAAAAAACAAAAAAAGAGAGAAAAAGGTGGAATTCAGAATCAGCATGGCTTACATGTGCAGCACAAGATGGAGGTGAGCTGGAAATAAAGTTTTATTGTTAGTCTCAAATGTGCTGGTGACACTTCCTGGTCAGCTCGCTCTCACTGGCTATTGCAGGCTTCTGCTCAGTGCAACAGGATTTCAAGTTATTAGAAATCAGGAAGACTCTGATTCAGTCAGTAACATTAAGATTATGTCTGTAACTCCTCACACTACAGGAATATTTTGGCAGAAATCTGTTCAGACCAGCCTTGAATCAGGAACAACCCTGCAATTGTCAGAAGGGGCAAGTCGGACCCAACTGTCCTCTAGCTTGGGCCAGCATAACATTAGCAGCTCTGTCCTGCTCTTACACTTAAGCAGACGCAGCCTAACACACTACCTGAGATATCTGCATGAGCATTAAGTTTCCCAAACACATCCGTTAGTCCACATCAAAGCCCCTTTCTCGTTTCTCATTAAAACTGAAACATACCGCTTGAAGATATAAATTATAAAGCATAACTCTAACCTCTGCCTCGCTCGTTTAAATATATGAGCTATGCAGCCAAACAAGGTTTTGTAAGAATTAAGTAACAGTCTGATCTGACATTTTTCCATATCACAATCATTGGGTCTAACTAGCTCTACACTGCAATTCAATAAAAATGTGGTTTCATTGTTCTCACATCTACATGGCTCATAACTGGTGAGGACTCGGACTATTTGTCTGGTACATGTTGCTTTAGCCTCAGTCTTTCATGTACATATTTAAACAGAACTATGCAGGATTTTCTTAAAAAACAATGTATTCACTCAGACAAAAGCAGTCCCTTTTAATCATCCTCATGACCCAGAAGAAGTGTGTGTCTGCCCTCTGCCTAGATTTTCTTATTTTCATCTTACTTTGGAGTTTCCTGGGCACAGCACACATGTGAGGTCAGGACTTTATAAAAAGGTAGAAACCAGATGCCTGACAGTAAACAGCACTTATTCAAAAGGAAGCTAAAAACAATTGGGAACAAAGGGCTGAAAAAATGCTAATATAGCGAGATGAAATGCTAAGGGGACAAAGCTGGGGCTGACTTTCACTCTGACTGGAAATACTGTTCACAATCAGCAGCCAAAAATTCCTGCATGAAGACCATTTGCAGGGTTATTGTTTTAAACTAGTCATTCTCGTCACTAGTCACATTTTCAAACCTCTCACGGAGCTAATGTTGGTTAATTACCACTGATAAAATCTGCAAGTAACAGTTGTAGACAGCAAAATCTGCTGTGGCTGACTAGAAATGAGAAGCTGCTTTTGTCTACCTCTCTCTGAAATCATAAATCCATGATGATAAGAAGTCTGAGCCCTAAATCTGCCACTGATATCATGTTAAACTGTATACACTATGTGCTGTATGAGAGTGAATAACTTAGAGGAATACCTCACCCCCCTGACCGTTTGACATTGTTTTTCTCCAATGCCTCCAGTGAATTGAGAATCCAAAAACTGAGATTTTTTTGGATGAACTGAAGTTATAGGAGGCCACATTCAACTATCCAAGCAGATAACACTTTATGTCAGAGAACTTAACTAAAAGAAAAGCATGTCTATGCTCACTTCAAAGCCAGACTCCATTCACAAAACAGTAATTTTACCTCTCAGAACACAGGAGTTGCAGGTCTACCTATGCCTCTATCAGTAGTTGTTATTGTGAGACTTTGGTGAATCCGAACTAACCCTTTAAAACACCAAAGCCAAATTTAAAACCTGGGTTTTCCACTGCAGACTATGGTCTCATATCTGTGACTGTAAATGAAATGTTACCAATCCCTGCAAAGAGTTCTTTTGCTCTGTTTGAATCAGTTATTGTGCCTAAATGCTGTGGGGATGACGTTAGCTTCTAGTGTTTGTGTTGCTCCTTGTTTTCATCTAGCTGCATTAGGATGATGTCTGCATAAATGAGTTGACATGTTTGAAGTATTCCAACTGATGTAACCCACTGTCATGTAGCAGATATACACATCGTTGTTTCTTTCTCCACCACTCTCTTACCATTGTGCTTATAATTCAAGTAAAACCAAATTGGCTCCAAATGCCAGACCTGTAGGTCGTCGGAGGATCTTCTATTACTGGTCAGGTAATGGCGTTATCAACCATCTTGCAATGAGCTAGTTTAGTGATAGCATGACTACCAACATGTCTCCCTGGAGTAGAATGTTTAAGTTACGTTGTGTGGGTTGCCTTACTGGGCGCAGTGGCACTGAGAACATTATATTTCACTCAGTTGAAGCTGTATACCTTATTTTCCAAATGTAATAGGATTGGTTCAAAGAATCATTCAGTTTGTAATGTGTACTGACCCAAAAGCCTCATACCAAATGGCTACAAATACAAATATGTGTATTGTTACACCCCTAATGTTTTGATATAGTTTAAATGTTGTTAAATGCAGAACCCATGACTTCAATTTATTACAAATTTTCTCCTTTTTTGGATTCTTAATTCACTGGAGGTGTGCTAGAAGAAATTTCACGTAACACAAGGTGAGTAATCGATACACAAATAGTCATTTAGGGGGTGAAGTATAAGCAAGAATATGCAGAATTGGGTGACATCTGAGCTGAACCATGTATTCTCATAACCCCAAAATACTATGTCCTAATACAGGACAATATATCTTAAAATTACAAGGCTGTCAGTCACAGAGAGCACACAGTCTATATGCTGTGACACATGCACAACAAGGTGAAAAACACAGACACAGGTTAGTGCTGCTGCGGTTTGTTGGAGTAAACCAGCAACAAATAACAGCATTTATCTGCTTGCCACCTGCCGACAGCATGAGAGACGTCTGAGAGAACCACTGCTCCTGTATCAGTGGCACAGCTGGCACTAGAGGGGAGGAGGAAGAAGGGAGGGTGGTGTGAAAGTGCCCCTGTGTTTCAATTACACACCAGAAGCCGGCACTCAAATATCATTATTCCTGCACATCACAATTTGCCAGTACTGTCACATCAGAGATGATGAGTGGGAGCGAGTGCAAGAGTCAGAAAGAGAAACAGTGTCACTGCTCGCGACTATAAATGAGGGGGAACATTGCAAATATGTAACTGGAGTGACATTTAGGTGAAAGCACGAGTGAAGACAGAGGAACACTTTAAGATTTCTAAATCTGAATGCAGTCAAACACAATCATCACAATTCTGCAAAACACAAAAGGTTAACAGCAAATAAGGAGTCCAAGGAAATGCTCACAGCCTGCACCATTAGCGTGTCACCATCAGAAATGTCATGTTATCGACTAAAAAGAACTGTAGGGCCATTTCCTGGAAACTGAATTTTGGCACAGATGAGTTCTGACACATGAGGGATTAGGTGTCACCAAGATGCCGGTTGCAGGAGGTATGTGGGGAAAAAAGCTTTGAGACTTTAAGGGGAAAAAGACAGAAAGGTGAAATCAAGCTTGTAAGTGCACATTTCAGAATTGATAGGCCTCTTTGTTCAACCCCGTGTCAGGAAGCCTGTGTGAAGCAGACCGTGCTGTCCCCTGGCCTCCTGTTGCCCCTCCAGCTCTGCTTACTGTGGTAAT